TCGTTTTGTTTCTCGTAACTCTGAAAATACAATCACTTCTTAACATATTTTTTTCACTTCGACTAAATAACATCATTTTTTTCCTCCACTTAATCCTAATTTTTATTGAACTGTTTCATTGTCATATGACTTCTCGAGCATTGATGTTTAATTTCTGTTCTCCTTTTGACACTTTTCCCGGAGAAAGTTTGCAGTATCATAGACATTCTTTGCTTGCATACACAACCTTATTTTCGCTTACCATGGCTGATATTAGTCTAAGACTTGACTTTTTTGGCTTCTATCATAGGTCGCAAGACTGCAAGAACAGTTGCAAGCTGAGAGAGATTTACGGGCTGCCCTGGAAGTTGGTTTAAGCATGTCATCTGGACAGTTTTCTGGTTCTCGTGGAATGGATTCTAAGGTATTTATCAATCTCCATATCCTCCAGTTATCCAACAATTTTGTAGAATTTCTTATATGTTTTATGAACTATGAAGACAAGGGCCGAGCTTGAGGAGATAGCTCTTGCTGAAGCAGATGTGGCTAGATTGAAACACAAGGTTGCCGAACTTCACCATCAGCTAAATCAGCAACGTCAGCATCAATTTGGCTCTCTCTCTGATGAACGTGATCATTATCAGAATGCTGCCAATCATAGTTCTCAAAGGTAAGTTGAAGTCCAATTATTTCATCTTTACGAGCTTTTAGTTTACTATGGACTCGACACATTTCTTATGCCACCATAATATTCAGCATGTCCGTATCTGGTATTGAATAAGTTCATCTTCCCATGCAGGAAATATTTTCAGCAAGATTTTGACACGACCCTTGCTTTTGTTAACCATGAGAGAAAACAAAGAACTGAGGTGAATGCACATGTTTATTTGTTTATTCATTTACTATCATGGCTGTCACACACCCAAATTTCTGCCTTCTTTCTTCAGTCAGAATTAAAATGAATGTTATAAGATGATTGTTTGGACTTTTTATGCGTAAAATTATGAAATAACCACAGGATTGACTCTACTTTCTTATTGTTATTATTAATTCAAATTGTTGTTGAACAGTAACTTGCGTGAGCTTCTATTTCTCACATGTAGGATTAGGAAGGGACATTACAGTAATTTAGCTCCTGTTTGAGCCCAATTTTTTTTGCCCAAAATGCATTTTGGAATATTATTTTGTTGGAGGGGGTGTGGTTAAAAAATGAGGAAATGCGTGTAATATTATTTTATTGAAGAATGTGTGGTTGAAAATAAGAGAAAGAAAAATGTGTTTTGGAAATAATGGGTACCAAACAAGGGCTTACCAATTGGGAGTCCTTGTTTTGTTCGTATAGCATTATTATATTGGTAAATGTTTACAGGTCACAGATTGGCACATTTAAAAAGGAGTCGAAAGACAATAGTGTGGCAAATAGGAATCTGCACTCCTTACTCCTTACAGCTCCAAATGATAACTTGATTGACTTGCATTAAATTAGACACTAACGACTGTCTGATCATTCTTCAAACTAGTACCTACATCCTCGACCTATCCTACACTACCCAGAAATTTGGCTTTAAAGTCCATGGACCCAACATTTGGGGCTCCAAAGGTCGTTTGAGCTGACTGTAATGAAATTTAACAAAATGGAATTGCCTATATCCATTTGAATATTTGGTTGTGCTACATGTGTATTACAACTTACAGATTTGTTTACCAACAGATGACGACGTGAAATATGATTGAGTCAAAATTTCACCAACCAACTACAAAAATAAAACTGCCCCCACTTTTTTTTTGCCACCTCATCAATTTGTAAAAGAATCTGTAAATGGTCTTGTACAAAAGCATTTTACTCGAATATTTGTTCAGGATACTAAAAATTTACAATTATGTCATACGTATTTTTGACTTTGTTAATTACGATTTATGGATATCATACTCTAATCTTGGTTGTTGCAGGAGTTGTTAGGGGCAGATTTGAGGAATACAAAGGGGCACGTATTAACATCTGGCAGCAGTAGTAGGCTGTCTGCCCGGAAGCCTTTCATAGATCCAACAAGTTTGAGCGATTCCAAAAGTAATGAGGCATGCATGAGTTTATCTATGGACGACCTTTGTGCCGTTGATTCTGCATCCATACCTTCTACTTCTAGGGCAGCAGAGGTAAGACTTGAAATACTTTTTCAGGCCTTTGGCCTACCCCTTAACTAAAGGCTAGAATACTGAAGACTATGTTGCCCAGAGTAGCAAGTTAGTCCCCAGCATTTTAATATAGTCGCACAATAGTCCTAATAACGAACCATCAAATCTCTGTTAAATTGTCACATAACTCTCTCATATCCAACTTTATGAAGCTAGAATTTTTCCAACTTTGAAGTGAGGCATGTTTTCATAAAAGAGATTTGGATCTTTTTTCTGTTTTTGGAGATTGACTGTGGAACAATAAGGTTGAGGACCAACTTGTTGCTTAGACAAATAGGTTGGGGGGACTTAGCTGCAATTTTTCCATTTTAACGACTTATGACACACGAGTTAATTGACCACAAAAAACACAAGTTTCATGTGCTTTTTGATCCTAAGATCCTATAATTGTAGCAGGTGATGGATTATCCGAGACATCCCTCAGCAGCGTCCTCGACCTTGGTCGAATTAACAACTCGCCTCGATTTCTTCAAGGAAAGGAGATCCCAGCTGATGGAACAACTCCATAGCTTGGATCAAAACTATTCGACAAAAGCTCAAGATTTTCTGTCTAAACCATCATCTCCTCCCTGGAACTGATCACAACTTTTCTAAGTGTGTCAAGAACATCCGATACTATCATCTGTATATTCTTTGTGCTATAGTATACATACTTGTATTTCGTGTTTTATCTATTTACTCGGAATTCTCTCCACTTTTATTCGTGTTGTTTTCGGAGAATACCTGAGAATGTAAATTAGTTATCTACGGCTTGGAATCCGCATGATAAGTAGTAAAAAATCTTTTATTTATATGCAAAGTTGTAAACCGACGGTTTTTGTTTGTTTAAAACATATAATGTTTGTATTTTTGCATCCTGTTAAATCGATCTTAGGCTGATTTCTGGGTTTAGAACACAAAGTTGTCGGTAATTTGTTTTTATTTTTCCTTAAACAATAAATTATATAGATGTGAATGTGAATGTGAAGAAATGTTGATGTCTTAATCTAGTTGTCTTTGGCAAAGTCATCGTGCCTTGAAAGAAGTTGGACTTCGTTTGATGTTACAACAATGGATGTATACGGCCAGTCCCCACTATGGATTATTCCTTTCACTGTGAAGTATCAATCCATACACAAAATAATGGCAGATAGTTTTTAATTATTATATATTCGACATATAATTTAGTATAGTTTTATAATAAAAAAATGATTTCGAGATCAAGTCTTGCTGTTTTTTCGTACGTCCATTCTCTTCTTGGATAAGTTGAACATGTTACTTTTCATCTTTGGCGAATTGCCAAAAAGTTTATCAAATTCAATCTGCCTCGCTTGAATTTTGATATCTTAGCCTCTGTTTGATTCACAATATTTTTCTTTCTCATTCTTCTACTCATTTTTAACTACACATTTTTCAATAAAATAATATTTTCTATTACATCAATAACTTTTCCTTCTTTTTCAATCACACATTTCTCATTACATCAACAGTAAAAATGCATTCTTACTTCCAAAATGTGCACCAAACAGGGGCTAAATATGAATAGAGAATAGCTAAAGCCTAGAAGTTACACAGTACATTACGAGTTACAGCCTAATAGGAAGATCAAGTCTTGACTTGTACAATGTCCTTAACGAATTTTAATCACGTGGAAATTAGAGAGTTCACAGTGTTGGGTATTAGAAATCCTAATTCAATACGATAAAGTGTAATAAAATCAGAGTAACAAAATAAACGTACGAAAGAACACGCAAATTTTATAGAAATTCGTTTTAATGTAAAATTACGTTCTCGTTCTCGTTCTCGTTCTCGTTCTCGTTCTCGTTCATCACTACAATAATTTACTTAAAAAGAAAACTTGCATACCTACTTCATGCAACCTTCCAACCTCATAACGATCTTACTGCAAAGATCAATCTGTGTACGAACTTCGCATTACCACATAATTGGACTTCACAACTAACCCATTAAGTCTGAGTTTGGTGGGCCCTTTTTTTTGGAAAAACATTGTTTTGAATAGTAATTTTTTTAAGAATGTATTGTTAAAAAGTAGGGAAAATGTTTGAGTTTGTGTAAAATATTTTATTGTGTAAATATGTATTTGAAAATGAGTATATAAAAAAAAGAGTTTTGAAAGAACAGGGGACAAATGGGTACTAAAACTTCTAGATGGTTCTACACGTATAAGCGCATACAATCTAAGCCCTTGTTTTTCTCCTTTTAAAATAAAATTATTTAATTTTCATACTTATTTTTAATCACGTATTTACACAAAAAAATATTTCACGCGTAAATTCAGAAAAAATTCAACTTTTTAGTCACATATTTTCAAAAAAATCAATATTCAAACTCTATTTTTCAAAATAATGATCCTAAAAAAGAGTCTATAAGTTGTCTAATGCTAACATAAAATTCTGAATTTGAATTCTCAGACGAAATTATTACACAACAGACAAAACATCTCATTACAGCCATGTTTGAGTCACATTCTCGTTTTTCTACTCATCTTCAACCACATATTCTTCAATAAAATAATATTTTTCATCACATCAATAACTTTTTTTTTTTTCAACCACATATTCTCCATCACATCAACAGTAAAAATGCATTCTTACTCTCAAAATGTGCACCAAACAATGGCTAAATCTCACCCCCAACAGCAACATTTTTCCTTAAAATGGCAAACATAAAAAAAAAAAAACTAATAATAATAATAAAAAGAGCACTCTCTCCTGCATGAAACACCGTGTGAATTGATAGCGTCAGACTCCAACTACACTATATAAAAGTTAAAAACCCAATCACTTCTCCAGACCCCCCACTGCCCACAAAAAAATCTCTGCATTATTATGGCCAAAGCCACCGCCATGGCCGCCGTGCTCCTCCTCCTTATCCTCTTCAGCCACCACCCATGTTATTCCACCGCCGCAAGTCCCATAAAAACAGTGGTGGTGCTGGTAATGGAGAACCGCTCGTTCGACCACATGCTGGGGTGGATGAAGAAGCTGAACCCACAAATTAATGGAGTTGATGGCTCAGAATCCAATCTTTTAAACACAACTGATGCTAACTCTCCTCGTGTTTTCTTTGGAAATAAATCCCATTTTGTGGATCCTGATCCTGGCCACTCATTTCAGGCCATTAGAGAACAGATTTTTGGATCAAACAAAACCTCTACGAAGCCACCACCAATGAATGGCTTTGCCCAGCAGGCTACTTCCATGGATCCCAACATGCCACAAAGTGTTATGAACGGCTTTGAACCTGACAAGGTAAAGTCTTTTCAGGTTATTATTTTAGTCTTAGCAGGTCCCATAAAATGGACTTTATTAAAATTTAATTGCTTGTTTGAGTCCGTGACAATTTATTTGGATTTGATGTTCCATCCGAAAAAAATAGACTGGAGAAGGATTAGTACAAGCCACTTATCTGTTACAACTGTGAAAAGGCTGCATTTTTTTTATGATTTATGTCATCCATAGCATTTTATCCTGAAAAAAGTGTGAACGCAAATCGAGAAATTGACGAGGACATCCATATTGTCTTTTTCTTCTTTTTAAGAAAAAATCTATACATTGTAATAAGCCTTCATTTGACACCCTTTAAAAAAAATGAATTTTTGAATAATAATTTTTTGGAGAATGTCGGGTTAAAATATAGAAAAATGTTTTTGGTTACGTGCAGAATATTTTATTGTAAGAATATGTGGTTGAAAATGAGTTAGAGAAAAAATAAATTGAAAGAATGATTCTCGAACAGGGACTAAATTATTAAAATCGATTATTAGTTAAACTAATCTAAAAAATTTAATCCTGTATTTAATTGAAAGAGGAGATATGAATTCAATAATAACTTAGGGTTGTTTGATTGCAAATGTGTAAAATGGGTGGAAAAAAAATGAATTATGGGGGAATTGAATTGCCTATAAATTGTTTTATTGAAAATTGTAATTAATTGTATTTGATTGATATAATTTTCCACCTAGAAAATGTTGAAAGTTTGGTATCCGTTTGACTTTTTGTTTTTATGAAAAGAATAATGCTACTTGTAGTCGTTCACTGCAGCAGTCGCCCTATGTGACATACACATGTCAAGTGTGTATTTGATGCATTAAATGTGGTAAAAAACTATCACATTAATGCATCAAATAACTACACGACATGTGTGTGCCACATAGGGCGACTACTGCAGTGAGCGACTGCAAGTAGCATTACTCTTATGAAAATTGTCCATTAAAGTGATAATTTTTTCTATCAGTGGGTCTAGAATTTGTTCCAATTGCCAAAAAAAAAATTTTTTTTTTTTAAAATACCATACCTAATATCATTCGTTTGGCTTTGTTTTGTATGGAAATTGTCCATTAAAGGGTAATTTTTTTTACCATTGTTGATAGAATTTTTTTCAATTGTCAAAAAAAAAAAAAAAACCTAGAAAACATAAAATCACCAAAACAACAAAAAAACCAATTCCTTGAAAATGAGGAAATTGGGCGCGTGAGGAGTGGGGGTGGAAAAGGTTTTCCTGCCAAAATTTTTGCCAAGGATTAAAGGTGGAAAATGGAAAAAAAAAAAAATCCAACTTCCATGGAAAATTTTTACAATCAAACAAGGCATTAGTTGTTTTGAATCTTTTAGTAAATTTAGCAATGATCGTGCGAAGAAAGGATTATTTGATTGTCATAAATTTGTAGTTCTTTCGGTGAATCTAGCAATGAATTGAATGGAAAAAGATTCATGTACCTACCGTAATTTTGTTTGGCTTAGAATGTTTGTTGTTGTACAATTTTCAGGTTGCGGTTTACGAGACCTTGGTATCTCAATTTGCAGTCTGTGATCGGTGGTTCGCGTCGGTCCCGGCTTCAACTCAGCCCAATAGGCTCTACGTCCACTCCGGAACGTCCCATGGTGCCACCTCCAATGTGGCGGCGCTGCTCGCCAAGGGCTACCCGCAGCGCACGATTTTCGAGGACCTTGACGATGCAGGGATATCATTTGGCATTTATTACCAAAATATTCCTGCTACGCTCTTTTACAGAAACCTAAGGAAGCTCAAGTTCGTAGGAAAATTCCATCCGTACGACCTTTCATTCAAGAATGACGCTAAAAATGGAAAGTTGCCGGGCTATGTTGTGGTGGAGCAGAGGTACATGGACTCTAAGGCGGAGCCAGCAAATGACGATCATCCATCGCACGATGTTTATCAAGGCCAAATGTTTGTGAAGGAGGTGTACGAGACATTAAGGGCAAGTCCACAGTGGAATGAAACCCTGTTCTTGATTACTTATGATGAGCATGGTGGATTTTATGATCATGTGGCAACACCAGTTAATGGGGTTCCTAGCCCTGATGGAATTGTTGGGCCTGAGCCATTTTTGTTCAAATTTGACAGATTGGGAGTTAGGGTTCCTACCATTATGGTTTCTCCCTGGATTCAGAAGGGTACTGGTAAGTCAACATTTTGCTGTCGGTATTATTCGTTAAGAAAAAGACATCAAGATCTTGTTCATAGTAGTGTCGAGTCTTGTCTAGTAATGCTTACGTTGTCTTGTGTATATTACGAAAACTTAAAACATATAGCAATAAATCAAATGGAGTGAAGAAAACAAATTAAAGTAGCCGACCCTGGGAACAAGACTTCTTAAATGCTCTATTATTGAAGATCACGAATTAGCTATCTGTCCCGCACATGTAAATGCATCATTCAATGCTTTTGGGGAATGGGATCATTGACATAAAGCTCCCATTACTATATTATTTCCTTCTGGTGTAATATGTGATGAATTTATAAGTTGATTCATCTCAGCACCTGTCCCCTGTGCATTTCCCCTGTACAAATGGTAAAATCCCACAAATTATATGTTAAGACTTAGGTTGTCTTAATCAAGGAACATGGTCCTTACACCATCATTAAGACTTGGTTTGTTTGGTACAGTGTTTACCGTATGGGATTAGACAGTACCAAAAACGGAAGACGAGCGACAATCTCGTCATGCCTTCACAGACAAGAAATCACAAGAATGGATTGTTAAATTTCGTAAAATTTTATCCATAATTGAGACAGTATTTTGATAATGACGCAGTTGTTCATGGACCTAATGGCTCACCAACTCCAACATCAGAATATGAGCATTCTTCCATTCCAGCAACAGTGAGGAAGATTTTTAACTTGTCTTCACCTTCTCTTACGAAAAGGGAGGCATGGGCAGGAACATTTGAAGCCATTCTCCAGACACGCAGCAAGCCCAGAACCGACTGCCCTGGTAAATTTGGTGTCCAATTGTTTATCTGATCTTTATTTAGCAGAATATACAAGTAACATTGTGTTTCTTGCTGAACTTATTACACAGAACGACTGCCTAATCCAGTTAAGATTAGGCAGGGAGATGCGAATGAAGATGCCAAAGTCAGCGAATTTCAACAAGAACTAATACAACTTGCAGCGGTAATGAAAGGGGACGATATCTTAATATCTTACCCAGGAAAGATTGGTAAAGAAATGACAGTCCGGGAAGGGAAAGAATACATGGAAGATGCAGTGAAGCGCTTCTTCGAATCAGGTTCTGCTGCTAAACTTATGGGTGTTGATGAAGAGCAGATCATAAAAATGAGACCCTCGCTTTCTACAAGATCATCCAATCCTGAAACTCGAAACCCTTGAAATAACAGGGATTCGTGTTCAGTAATCTATGAAGTGATCTATACATGTAATAACAAAAAATCTAGAATATAAAGTTCCATGTACCAAACATGTTCCCAACACAAAAAAAAAGGAATGAAATGCATTTACTATTATCCACGATGTTCCGAATTTAAGCTCAGTTACATGTCTTCCATTGCTGATGAACAATTGTGCACTTCGTTTGTAATAGCCCCAACTACTAAAGTTAAGGATACAAAAGTACAAAGCAGTCGACTAAGCAAAACATGAAATTTAATGCAGTATAATCAAAATAGGATCAGTATCTGACAGGAAACATCATATTTCTCAAGAGGGCTGCCTGAAAAGGGTTAGGGACTCGAACAAAAGTGTCCTTAAACTTCATCTCACGTCGAAATTCCAAGAAGATTATCCAAAGCATATAAAGATATTCACTGTGTCCCATCCAGGAATATTTTCAGTTGCCTCTTTCACCATCTTCACTGGTCTAACCTGTACAAAATGCATAATCAGTTCAAACGCGAACAAATTCGTCTTCACTTTTTTGTTTTTACATTCTTATTTCGTCGTTAACAACCACATTGTACATTGTTAACAAATTTAACTACGAAAAACCATGAACCCCTCGTGCATTTCTAGAACCCAACCAAAAGTTTCATCAGTCTCTGGGTCGTCTTTCATTTGCAAGGACACATTCATCCATGTCGTCCCAATTTTTTTCCAAAATCGATTGCAGCAACTCGATTAGTCAATGAAAGGTAGTTTCCATAAGGCAAATAAAGCTTCATCTATGCCAAAAATGAAAAGCATGTACTTTCTTGATAATTGCTGGAGAATTGCCAATTGAATCAACTTTAGTCTTCAGCAACAGGACCTTTCTCTTCAAGATAATATTTTCTTATACTCTTTTCGCTCTCAGCCGGTTTTATGTAGAAAAATAGGAATGCAGCCGGGTGTTCTCCTCGAGCCAAATTTGGCAAAGGATTGACGAATATATAGTCAGGTTTGGCCATTAAAATTCACCTGCATTAGTCATACGATAATAGTTTTCCGGAAAGAGTCAATTTTTTGTTACATTGAATCATTCATATATGAATGCATGTATAATATATATAGGCGACATATAGATTTTTTAGAGATGACAAATACTTATGAGACTCAACCTAGGACACATGCTCTTCCTCAATCGTTGCTCTCTCCAACCATTGAACAGACGTCCACGGCCTATTCAAAACAATGTAGCCATGTTAACAACATTCAAACGCAGTTATCAGTATACACACTGTTTATATCGACTTCATGAACAAGAATTAGGCAATGCTCACGCGATCAAGCCCCTATGGGAGAGGATCGACAACAACTGTAGGGATTTCCTCCATTAAATCATTAGGCTTGCCCAAATGCAGAACTCTGGTGAACCCACCCATGTCTGATCCGGGCATATCTTTCATCTTTCTATACCAATAGTACATTATCGGACACTGCATCTGATATAAGGTGAATCAGTAGCAGTTAACCCGAGATGGAACTTGGCACCACCCTTTCCATTTCTAGATTATTCAGCATCTTAATAACAGAATCAGACTATTCTTTAAACCTCTTCGACTAGGCTTGGGATGCGTTACCAAAGTCAAGAAATTATACGTCGCAAAGAAAAAACCCAATATCAGTAACACCAACATAGAAGGCAATGCATGCCCCATTTTTTTTCTTACAATCAAATCAATCCTATACTAAGCATTCAATCAAATTCTTTCAACACTACCCAAATGCTCAATCTATAAGATTTTCCAAGTATAATCATGGTTAACTCTGCAGTCCAAACATTCAATATTCAGCAAAAGATAGCATCTTTGACACAAATATTCAGTGCTCATTGCAAATGGAACATAAAATATTTTCTTGTTTTAAACAACAAAAATATCAGACAAACAAACTTCAAAATGAACAAGATTATTTATGTAGTTTGCAAATAAAGAAGACCATTTTGATGGAATCATTGAAACAACATGAAATGGGACAAGAACAGATCTATGAATGGCACAGTAGAAATCCCAAACAGAACAGAATAATGTATGAGAGAAACTTCTGAACTCTGTTGCCAAAGTTAACAAACAGTGGGCTTAGAATTTTAAATTTAGGGTTTATGTTCAGCATGTGTAAAATGCAGTCCCATGCCCCGACTAATTAGTTCTATGAACAAAGACTATTTCTTGGTTGAATCTTTCTCCTCTGTTTTGTTGAGTTTTTCTTTTTTATTTTTTACGAACCACAGTCCAGTCAATGGGAAAAGATCATCTCTAATTGCTGAATAAGCTCAACAGCAGATCACGAAATCAAGGATCTTTCAATCTAATAAATGAGAAATTTACTTTAAAATCAGTCATCCTAGAGGGAATCCCAAAATGAGTACTATTAGATCAGATAATTTGAATAATATATATTTAAATAGAAAGAAACCGTGGCATTCTCCGATTCATTCGGTTAAACACCAAAGTTTTTAGTACAAGAAACTCCAACCAGAAGTTTAAAATGCATCTAAATCAGAAGTTAAACTAGAACTAGCAAATGTAAAGTACATAGGCAAGAGCAACTAAATCTGGGTTGGTACAAGAATGGGCAAAGGCAACATACTAGTAAAGCCCATCCTTTTAAAGTCAGCCTAATATCCTTATTTTCCACAAACAAATGCAAGGAAATACTGTACAAACAGAAACTGAGGTTTTTTGGCCCTCAAGTGCGACCTAAACGAACCAAATGTTGCTGGTGCTTTGCAGCAGCTGCTTTGTCAGCAGCTTCACGTTTCAAGGCCCGTTTTGCACGCCGACCAACATTTTCTTTAGCAGCAGCAGTAGAATCAACAGCTTCTTTCTTCTTCCGCTGACGAGATGGGCCAGCACCGGAATCCTGAAAGTTTGGTCGGGGAATTGGTCGTGCCTCTTGCCTTCCTGCCCTAACATACCCGTTGTCTCCCCATCTTCGATTACCAATACGGAGACTTGAGGAACTACCCAAGTAAATATCGTCCTCGTCCTCGTCCTCGTAATGATAAATTTCAATTTCTTCATATGCCTCTTCCTGTTCCACCACAATCAAAGGCTTGAACCATGAGGCTCTTAGGAGGAGGCAGACACTCTCCTCAAACATGTAATCATGAATGCTGCCAAAATAGACACATTTTTGTAAGTTATCGACTGAGAATCAGATCTTCTCTTACTTAATAATAATGCCTTTTACAAATATTTACACTATTTTCTTCTAAATAAGAAAGTTCACAGCATACAGGGTTAATTTTGATTTATCCAAATGAGTGGCAGCAATCAACCAGTCTAAAGATGATTTGAGAATAAAAATCTTCAGAAAATATAAGGGTAGGATGTAGGAAGTTCAATTCACAAAATCCAGTCCCAAAAAATCCCATATCATAATCAATGTTTTTGTTTCAATATAGTGAGCACAATAATCAATTCATGTGCAATTATTTGTCATTACACGTAAGTTGCATGAAAAAAAAATCTAATTATGCATGTTCCCCCAAAACAACAAACACAAGACAAAAAGGGTGTGTGTCTTTCTCAAAGCGTATGACTCCACAAAATAAATCATGTCAACAACCTTTATTGTACTAGTAAATAAAATCAAGGGTTACTAATAATTAATCAAAGGAAATCATTATTTTATGCATCTTCCAAAGGGAGAAAAGAGCTGGAAAGTGAGATGCTAAAATACCTTCCATCTAGTGAGCGGTGGATATTCAGAAACTTGAACGGATTTTTACACTGAGGACATGTAGGTTCCATTTTGTAAGAGGCCCATCGCAGGATGCATGTGACACTGACCAAAAACATAACAAGAACATCAATTGTGACCATAATGACATACCATCTATTTATAATTAGGTAAGTAAAATATGTTCACTTAAAAACCAAGAAAAATTCGCATTGAAATCAATAAAAGGTTCAAGGCCTTCAAGAGATAAAACAAATAGTAACTACCATGCAGAATATCATGTTCCTCAATAAATACAAATCATCATACCTTGCATTTGCCAAGATTTCAAGCTAAAGAAGTAATACTATTATTATATTAAATAGAAAAAGCAATCAAAATTACGACAATCTATAGGATCTCAAATGAATGGACATGCAATGATTAACACATTTAAGAATTATACTTTTTTTAATATATAAAGTGGTACTTGAGACACTTGCGGTCATGAGGAAAATATAATATAAAAGACTAGTTAACCTTAGTAATCATATTTTGATAATGTAACAACAATTAAATGTGAGAATATAATGGCAAACAATATTCAACCCTTCTGCCTTCTTACACGGAAGCAGAAGTATATATATTTTTATATGTCGGTAAAAGGGATACCTTTGTTTAGATGTATTTTTGGGGAGAGGAGAGCAGTAAAGAGAAGAAATGAAATGAAATGAGAAATGACGTGTTGTTCAAGGTTCACTATTCACAAAGATATAACCTTCTGCAGCAATCGAAACCCGACGCAGCAATTATCAAGTTTTGCACTTTCTCGTGAAGATTATGGTTGCAAGGTCATGATTACCACTTGTAGCTAGAAATAAGTATGGGAAAAAACGAGCTATGATAATGTACCAGGTGCCATAGCAAGATAAATAGCTCTAGAAGCATGTATACAGGCTCATAGTTAAGGTTGAGATCTAGAAGGCGAATATATTTAACAATATATAATTCCTACAAATATAAAGGCGAGTTGAGATATTGAACCCAATTCCTGCTGCTCTTTCTTTTACATTCTTCTAGATGAATCCACAACTAATTCTTGATTCAGAATAAACTTCTCTACCATTTTACTTCTATTACAATGCCTAAAGCAATACCCGAAAATGCTTTATATAAGACGCATCAAGATGTGAACCCTGGTATTTCATAAATGTTTTTATTTTACAAATACATCACTAGAAATTCATATTTTATTAATTTATGCACCACACACAATTAATTTCATATCGTTGAAGTAATTATCTCAAATGTAAGCTTGAGATATTCTCCAATACGTCAACTAATATAAATGCATGCAGTGTGGGAAACTTCTTTACTAGAAATAGTTCTAAGCCGACAAAATCTCACAGACCAACTCACTGGGTCATTGGCTATATCCCTCAACAATATGAGCCACCCAGTGGCAAGGGGAAATACACTTGTCTAGACCCAGCTATAGCGTATACGACACTGAATTTTATAATAATCATGCAAACGTATGTGACACTCAATTTTATAAGAATAAATGCAAACAATACATACAAAAATATAAGTAATTATCTAACTAAGAGATTAAGACAAACCAGTAGGCATGCTCGCAACCTTTAATGAGGGCAGTTTCTTCAAGAACTATCTTATTCAAACATATTGCACAAAAACCATGATGATTAGTGTTGTCAGTATTGTTAGTGTCAGACACAACATGGTTAATCTCCTCTGGTGCATCGGTACAAGCTCTCTTCATTTCGCACTGAAATTCACAAATTTAACTCAAGTCAATCTACAGAACCAATCCGAAGTGATACCTAATGAAGAAATGCAAAAGCAAAGGTTTCCAGTTGAACTAAAAACCTCCAAACAAATGAAACCACAAAAAAAAAAAAAAAAAAAGACTAAGCAAACAAAAGCATCTAAAAATTGAAAGAAATAACACAGACGATCCATTAACCATACGTGATATTTTTCCAATAAAAATGTATGAAAATATTCAGCAAAACCGAGATAGATTTTTAGAAAACCAGTCAATTAAAACCCTAGAAAATTCAACTGGGAACCGACAGTATTGTGTATTGAAACCAAATCTTAATTTATTTTCTTCCGAATCTGATAAAAAAAAAAAAAATCGATCTTTTTAACTAGAATCAGATCCCATCTGATCAAATCCGCCTAAAAACTATTTAATTTTCATTACACGGTCTAAAACAAATAAAAAGTACATGGAAAACCAAATTAAACACAGAAAAACCAGCAGAACAAAACTTCCCACATTACTTTTCATCATTTCTTGGAGTTCCCATAAAAAAATTGGGTCAAAAAATTCGTACCTGGCCTTGGATTGAGAGACCCTGAAGACCGTTCACGAGTTGCTGACCGTCGATTTCATCTGCTGCAGACATTATTATATTTTTGAATTCTAAAGAAATGAAAAACCTAAACTAAAAAAAATGAAAATATGAATATACACAGATTAGAGAAAGAGAGAAAAACAAAAGGGAATCTGGAGCATAATTCTGATTCCAGGACGAGAAATACAAGAAAGCGGCGATGTGGCTGTAATGAAGGGGGTGAAGTTCACGGCAGCAGATGCCACGTGGGCTCCGCCAATAATATTGGAAAAAATATTTATCCTTATATATGTACCTTTGGCTTCCGATATTGTAAATAAATTTTCTTTCATTTTTCCTCTCTCCAGTCAAATGCAATAACGTGTTGTAATTTGTAAAGTAGTTTTTTTTCTTTTTTTGAAAATAAATTCTGAAAAAATTGAATGATAAGAAAAAAGTTACAAATCCACTTATAAAATTAATTTATTAAAAACGAATTAAATAATTTGTGCCAATTAATTTACAATAAAGGACCCCACGATTAGAATGTGTTTGTATTCTCATTTGGAGCAAAAACCGCGTCTCACCTCTTTTTTACTTTTTACTTTTTATTACAAACTTCATGTTCCCCACAATACGAAATCAAAGTTCTTATGATAGAGCACGAGAAGATTTATTGATGATTTGGATGACGCGGAGAAGTTTTCGTGGGGTCCCTTTGATTGATATTGACATTAAATTGATTAAATAAATAATAAAATACACTAAGCCCCTGTTTGTCTACCATTATTTAAAAAAATTGTTTGCTACAGTAAGATTATTCACCACACATTCACCCAATAAAATATTCTACACACAAATCAATAAAGTTACTTTAANNNNTACCATTATTCCAAAAAATTGTTTGCTACAGTAAGATTCTCCACCACACATTCACCCAATAAAATATTCTACACACAAACCAATAAAGTTACTTTAAATTTCAACCACACATTCTCCAAAAAATACTATTCATTACTCTATTTTTCTCCCAATAATGAGAGACAAACACACCCTAAGAAAAACTGTTCAAATAGTGTTTTTTTTTTTCAAACAAATAATAACAAAAATAGTCTTCTCTCTCTCGTTGGGTGGGCCAAGACAGATGTTTCGGGCCCCTGCAAGGTGGGGTTTGTCTGGTTGAAATAACATATGATTTAAATGTTTTTAAGATTTTAATTCAAATTTAAGAGTTATATAAGTTTTATTTTCAAAAATCAGATATAATTAAAATTGTAAATATTAATAATATTATTATAAAAATTATTTAACATATCCACCCCACTAAATCCTAATTATTTTTCAATCTCCTCTCTTTTGTACAACCACAACTACTACCTACCTCTCTCCCCCATCCCGTTTCATCCCCCAATATCCTCTCTCTCTCTACACAACGGCTAAGCAACAGCAACGAGGGCGGTCGAAAGACGGTGTTGATGCCGCCCACAGAGCGACAAGAAAAACGGCTCTCAATCGTTGTGCAACGATGCAAGCGAGGTGTGGCTATTGGTGGTGTTGCTTCCTTTGTGAAACCAGTGAGAGCTAACGCGCCGCCAAGGGTGAGACCACCGCTAGTTCGGCCACGGCAAGCTGCAGATCTCGACCACTATGTGTTGCGAGGCTAAATCGACAAAGGAGTAAGAGGTAAGAGTCAGGTGTTTTTTCAGTTGGTGGGTGGGGGCTGTGGTGGTGCTTGTGATGGTGGTGGTGTTTGGGTGGAGGTAGCTTTGTTGGATTCAACGGTGGCAGGGGTTATGTTGGATATGGTAATGATTGTGGTTTTGTTTGTGGTGGTGGCTACAATATTTGAGATGATGATTTTGCTGTCGGAAGGTGGTGATTGTGGTGACAGTGGATTTGTGGTAATGCGGTTAGTGGTGTGGTAAGATGGTGGCCACAAGTGTTTGTGGTGGTCACAAATGATTTGGTTGATCGTAATCAATAAATTGATTTATGTGTGACTTCAAAATTTGTTAAATTGTGACCAATAATTTGTGACAAACATAATTTGTTGTCAATTAGTTTAATATTTTTGTGACTATGAAATAAATTATGACATAAAAATTTGTGATGAAAGAATATTATGACCTATTTATTTGATAAATTTGTGACCGTAAAATAATTTGTAACATAAAATTTTCAATTTTGACCGAAAAATCATTTGTAACCAATTAATTAGATAATTTGTGATTAAATTTTATAGAATTATAACCTTACGTTTAATTTATAAATATATTTTTAACTAATTATCACAAAAATAAAATTTAATAAATGTCTAATTTTTGAAATTTTAAACATTTTATCTTAATTTTGAAATGAGTTATAATAAACCCTTGCTCATGAATTTTTGCCCTTGTCTGTGTGATACATGGATCGGGCTTTAATTATGTTGCAAGGCATAATTACAGAAATAGCACTAATTGGAGAAATCATTTGACCAATTTGTTATTTGTGCTTTTGTTTTGATACACAGAATGAGATACAAGCATATAGCCACAGTTCCATCTAAGCCAAGATCAAACTCTGTATGACTATGATTGGGCCATAAAATGATTGGCCTGGCGAGCCGAACGCACCATTTCCCAACTTTCATTGAACGTATAGGTAAAGTTTTAAATGATTCAAGGCTCGAGCTCAACTTTATAATCATTAAAATTATTCAAGCTCGACTTATTCATCGTTAGAGTCGAGCTTGAATATATTGTTTTCAAAACCGAGTTTTCACAAAATTTGACGAAAACAAAGTCACACAACCAAGGTGAAACGAGGCTAAATATGGTAACAACCTTGTTAAAAAACTCATGCAAACCCTTAACATCAAACACAAACAAGGCTTATAAAAACTCCCCAATTACACTGTTCTCGATTCCAAGAGCAACAATAAACCAGACAAATTCAGAATTGCACAAAGAAAACGAACAGTTTTAAGTACCAAAAGCTGCTTAAGGTTATTTCCGCGTACATAAAACATGCTCAAAATAATCCCGACTCACCAGATTAAGCAATGGATTGAAGTAACGCGAACGATATATGCACAAATATGTAACAAATGTTTCAACAGTTGAGAATGTAAGAGAACTGGGAAAGTAAAGTAAATTTATCTCAGGCATTGTTCCCTACTTGTAAACTGGAAGGGACAGCATATTGTAGTTCAATTAGAACCATTTGGAAATGGACAAAAATACCAAGAATGTGCGTGCCAAAAGAAAAACATCGTACCAAAGTTTACATAAAATAAAACCTGAGTTAAAACATTTTAAGGGCCTTACACAAGAAGAGAGATTTCGTACAAGAGTTCACACAACATTAAACCTACGTTAAACATGTAAAAGGTATATAAGGCGATCATGTTATTGCTTCGATAGACAACAAAATCCAAAATATAAACAAACATATGGTGCAATGACAGACTCCCGTGAGCAACTAAGTACCTAAAACTGAAACGCACAACATAAATGTACAAATCGTGACTTTACCAAATAGAGATACACATACTGGGAAATTAGTTGAAAAGAAATCGAGGCGAGTTCATGAGAGTATCAAACCTTGTGATAATGGAACTGCGCGTTTCCCCAATAGCTCGAGCGTCCAAAGGAAAGTCATGTCCAGTTAATACTGGATTAGGCCATAAACTATAAGCAAACGCAACCTGCTACAATAGTCAGATCCTGAAATTTGAGATCACATCTGCACATATAATAATGTAATATACACAAATAACTACATATAACACATCGAAAGGTAAATATCTAGACGAATAGTTAAAAATGTAAAAATTATGTGAACACAAGAAAAGTGCATAATCTTGTGCCGAAAGACGAACAAGAAAAACGTAAACAACAGTGTGTTACACCTTTGAGTGTTCACAAAACAGGAGACACTGCAGTTTATATAATATAGTATAAACAAGAAATGTTAATCAATATTATTAGACCTCCAAAAGCAGACAGCACGGGATCATTAGCATTGGCCAAAAAGTCAATTGCGCCGTTCGGAGATTAAAATTATATGCTAATACGAAAAATTATAATAATTTTCAATGACATGATAGTCAACAATGCAGATTAATTAGAGCACTAAACTGTCCTCTAAAGTCAAGTAAATACATAAAAGAATGAGGAAACTTACAAAACAGATGAATTAAAAACTGACTAATAATTCACACATTCTGTAGTTCATGTTCTACTTGCATGAAACTTCTAAACAAAGATGAAAAGATTCAATTTCAAGAAATTTTGAGTCAGCATCAGCATAAAATCAAGAGCTGCCGGATTTTCTCGAAAATGGTATAGGGTGAAAATTCGGCAGACTTCTCCAAATAACTACATATCAGTTCTACAGAAGCATTTAGGATTTTCCCTGTAGACTGTATACGACGAATCAGAACCACGAGAAATCGCATTAAGAAACACGAAAGATATCCAAAAGAAATATCCACTTACTGTGCTCATCCTTATTTAGCAACACGTGATTCTAATGCAGTAAAACACTGAATCATAAGTTCATACATTATATTATTAGAGGCAAAATGCTTATGAAAATAGACAAATTATGAAGAATACAGTACCTTGAGACAGTTTCAAATAATTGCTAAAATACAATGAACCAACAGTTCTTTTAAACAAGATTTTCCCAGAACTTGAATTATTATGCACATATGCCCAAAATCTAGTGCATAACTGCATATGAAAATACAAGATAGAGATAATACATATATATAGACTATCTAAACTAAATCTAAGGGAATTATCTTTTTTTGGCAAATAATGATACTCTTGAGGAATTATTAAGGCATATTTAGAGCAAACCTAGCTAGAGGCTAGAGCTGAAACTGAAAGTGAAAGGAAGGTTTTAATAATTTAAAAGTCTACAAGAAGAATAATCGAGAACCTATTACTAACAGTGATGAAAAGATTAGAATACAGTGGAATTTCTTCTTTGAGTAATTGCATCCACCGCTTTGAGACCCCTAAAGATTGAAAATATTCTTGAATCAATTTATTGGAATACCATAATTTGATCCTCCTAGTAATCCGCCGCCCTGAGCATAAACATCAGATGTATCAAGAACTAGGGACGACGAGGAAGCCGCATTTCTTCCCTCGCCGCCACCTCCTCCAGCGCCACTGCTACCACTTAAATGCAAGTCTGATATGTTTGGAAACCCGTCTTTCGGTTCGACTCCTTGATCGTATAAAAATCCTTTGAAAACATGGCCTCCAATTCTCACTACAGCTTGATATGCATACTCATCGTCCCCATCATCAACTGCAGTCACTTTAACACACTTAAACACTGCTTGGGCTCGAACTTGGCCTGGAAATGGCTCTTTAAAGCTTGCGTCTGTATAGATACTAATAGTTCTTAATTTTAAAAAACATGAAATTTATTTGTCCAGAATGAAAAAAATTGTAAAACAAGAATACCTTGGTGGCTGGAACTGGTGTCAAAGCTTCTAGGAGGGGTGTTGTTAGAAGTTGAAGTATGAGAAGCTGTAGTAGTTAAAGAAGTGCCAAGTCGAGGTTTTTTGGCGCCAGAAGTGGACTGAGAAGACCCGGCGGTGGCGGCCATGGCCAGCCGTTCACGACGGCGAGCAGCAGGAACCCAAGTGCTTTTCAAATGTGTAGCACAGTCATAACCTCTACTTCTACAACAAGTCCTACACCTTCGCCGGCTACAATCTTTTTTAGCTTGATTTCCACAGTCTTGACATGTGGTTGCTCCGGACGAAGAACCTCCAATTACATTGCCGCCACCGCTGCCACCTCCTCCGCGACCGGTCTGAAGTAGAATATTATGATCCTGAATCATGGGTTTCTTCAAATAAGCTGAAGTGTTTTGTACCTGCTGATTTTGCCACAGTTGCATCCCACTTCCACTACGATTTCGTGTATTACTCAACAAGTCCTCATCTGTAGAACCCATATTTAGACAAGGGGCCGCCGTGAGGAGAGGAATCACACCGACGCCGATGGCAGCCGCCGCGTTAGATGAATTAATGCCATGAAGATCGAAATTGATGGCAGTGGCAGTGGGAGTGGCAGCCTCCTGGTGGTGGTGGTGTTGCTGAGTACTATGATGGAAAGAAGAAGCAGGCGCAACTACGAAGAATTCCGGAGGTAGGCCGTAGTTAACATGCCTCGTTGTAGCAGATGATGGCCACATTCCTCCACCAGAACCGGCAACGGTGCCGGTGTTGCTTGTGTTATCACCGGCAGTGGGGCCGGCATTAAATCCCAAAGAAAGGTCCCCGGCGGATGACGAAGATGAAGCCACCCAGTCCGCAAAGGCCCCAGAATCCGACTGTAGCCTCCTAGTAGTAGCCACAACTGCAAATTCTTGTAGTCCTACTCAAAATACTGACAATATTACACAATCTATACATACAACTAAATATACAGATGCAAAATTTATGTCTCTGTCAAGCACAAGACGGACTCTTTCTAAATCTTGAAAAATCTAAGAAAAGGTGGGGTCTCTGTAATTCTTCCAGCAGAAGAAGATTTTCAACGACTCATACAGAACCCACACAGAGATAAGGAAAAAAAAAAGATCTTGAACAAAGGGTATGACTTTATATATATATGCAATTACTTCTGTTAAGTTTCTGAGACAGAGAGCGATTGAAAGAGGGGGCAGGCTATTGAGCTATTTCCTCTACTCCATATCACTGCTACTTACTGCTACTGTCGTCTTGGCTTTTTTTATGAAAAAAGTTTCACTGTGAGAGGGACTTGTGACCATCCCTGCCAGTAAGTAGTTATAGCAGAATTACAGCAGAGAGAGAAAGAGAGAAATCAGAAGCAATAACACACGAACGAAGGACCCCCCCAACAGAGAAACGCCATCTCTCTTCTGTATTTGGTGCCGACCTTTCTCCCTCGTCATCAAACACTTTGAACTTTTGCTCTTCTCTATATCTCACTCAAAAGAAAGTGAAAAAATGAGGTGGGTTCCTTGCAACCTCTTGCGTACAGATAGGGACTGTGGGTTTGTGAATTGTGATTATTGGAAAGAGAATACAGAAAGAAAAAAGTGTAAGTGTGTGAGAGAGACTGAGAGAAAGAGTGTGTTTCTTGTAGGTTTTGTAATGTTTGGAAGCCCTAAAGTCACATGCCTCGCTTTAATTTGTATTATCTTTAAGCTGCAAAATAATAAATTATAGCTTATAAGTATATTAAGGTAATTATATACCATCCCCTCCAAAAGAGAGATAACGCCAACTTATATCGCTTTTTCCCCACTTGTAAAAATTAAAATTTTAACTTAAGTAAATTAATAATTAATTTTAACTATATATTTCCTATGATACATAATTATTTAATTATACATTTTATCAATTTTTTTCAAACTCTATTAAATATCTGATTTTAATCCTCACCAAAGATAGACTAAATAGCCAATGTATTTGCACAAATTTGAGATAAACCGGTTTTTATTAAAAAATTCAAACTTAAATCATTTGATACACAAAAGCTTGATTTTCTTTTCTCACCTATTAGTTGGGAAAACATTTTCCAACTTTTTTTTTTTTTTTTTTAAGCAAAGGCAACTAATTCAATCAACTATTGTAAAAAGGATTTTCATTTTTGTCCATAATTTCTATGTAAAACAAAGTCAAACGAATATGGTAATTTTTTTTAAATGTTTAAATTTATTTTTTATTTTTTACTTTTTGGTAATTAGAACAAATTCTAGACGTATTGGTAGAAAAATTATCACTTTAATGGACAATTTTTATAAAAAAAAAA